GCACTCTCGTCCAATCTGTTTCTCTCCCTCTGTCTGTTTCTGCCTGACGTATGTTATCTGTTTCTGAGTGTCTGTTTCCCTTTGACACTGTGGGCCTGGTAAGTAGCCTATAATCAGTGTTATTTTTAATGCAACTGATTCATGGACTGTATATACAGGTGAACAACGTGTCTCCACTTCCTCCCACTAACCAGAAATGAAGCCAAAATGTCCCGGACATGAACGCGGCTGCCATATGCGCATTTGGAGTGTGTGCAGTGATGATCGGGTTATGGACCCGTGGTAGCGAGGCCGGGCCGATACACAGACTCAGCGAATCGTGAGTTAGTCTCAGCTGTCAATCGGTTCCAATGTTGATGATGCAAAATGAACTAAGCAGTATTTTGTTTTGTGTTTTTGCAAGGAGAAGACATGAAAACATGAAACAATCACACCGTGCTCATAATCACACTCTTTAAAAGTCAATGTTGAAACATATTCCAGGTACTTTTACTCCTCTACATATATCAGCAAATATCTGTGTTTTCTACTCCACCAAATTTTACAATGATTGTGTCACATGTTCACATTGTTTTTCATATTTTTAAATGTAATCAATCATGAGAATTGGTCCAGTAATCCAATCATATAAGTTACGTAACGTTTGACCCTGCCTCTTGCACAGAAGCATCGCTGGCAAAGAAGAAACACCTGAAATGGATTCAAAAGAGCGTTTCTGGTAGAATCTTCTGCAGCGTTCCACTGTTGCATTAGGGACACTGCACATAGGCCACGCTGCAAATCATTTCACATTTAATGCTTTAAGTAAAGCAGAACAGTTAATGTGGTACTTTTATTTTTATTTGTGTAACTCTCTGTGGTATCAGAACTGTGTGCGACCCCTCTCACATTATGCACAGTCATCTGAACCGTTGTTAATATGAAACTATTGATTAACGCAGCTTTAACTTGGCCTCACATGCTCCATCACCTCTGACTTGTTTGTGGCTTTTCCTGGATTGTGCTCTTCTTCTCTTTACCCGACTATTCCTCCGTGCCCTGCTCTGCCTCTTTCTGCTCTTTTCTATTTTCCCTGCTTTTTCCAACCCCCCTTCTAACCCCCTGTCTCCCCCATCACTCTCGCCATGTAAGTAAATCAATGAACATACACTTTATGCCATTTATTGATCCTTTTTGTATCTATCTGTCCTCACCCCCCTCCTGGTCTTGCCCTCTCTCTGTCTCTTCACTTTCCACTCTATACCCGTTTTTTTCCCCCGCATCCTTTTTTCTCACATTTTTTTTTGTCTCCCTTTTGAATTTATAATCTCTTTTCACCCTCTCTGTCTCTGTCTCTGTCTGTCCCTTTCTCTTTCTATCTCTCGCTGTGGGATATCCTATTTATATGGCTGGCACCTTCATGCTTCTACTGAAGTGTGTGTGTGTGTGTGTGTGTGTGTGTGTGTGTGTGTGTGTGTGTGTGTGTGTGTGCGAGAGAGCGAGCGAGCGAGCGAGCGAGAGTGTTTGATGTTGGTCTAAGTGGTTAACATAATATAGGCCCTTAGAGAGATGACGTCCCTGCACACACACACACACACACACACACACACTTTAACACATTTGAACACATTTTGGGGTTTTTTGGTTCGGCCTCTTTGAACATTTGTGCTTTTTAGTATTCTCAAGCTTGTGCAGCAGATCCATGTATTATCTATCAATTGCATTCTCCCACTCTGACATTCACACACACACACACACACACACACACACACACACACACACACACACCTTTGTGGCTCGACAGTCTTCCTAGAATGACAAAAACCTGGTATTATCTTTTGTTATTTATTATTGCAGATGGAGCCATCATTTCATGACCTCGCCGTCTCTCGCCCTCCCCCCCACTGCTGCACGCTTTGTTTGTTTGATTTATTCAGACCTCTCTCACTTTCTCTCCCTTTCCTGCCCTCTCCTCCCGTCTGCATGTTTATGTTTATGCAGACCCAACTCCCTCTCTTTTTTTTTCTCTCTGTCACCATCTCTCCCCCTCTCTTTTTTTTTTCTATCGTTCACTCCCTCACTCTGTACCCGTGTGTCCAGCTTTTGTTACCAGCCTCGTTTCCATAACAACTGCGACCTTTCAGTCACTGCCTAACCGTTTTTAATCAGAAGTAGAGAAAGAAA